CGGACGCTGCACCTCGGCGGCTGCCGCACCGCGGTGGACCTGGAGGTGCTCAGGCAGTGCGCGCAGCTCCGGGGGCTCACGGTGCGCCGCGTCGCCGGCGGGCCCGACGGCGTCGTGGACCTGGCGCCTTTGGGCGCCTGCGCCAAGCTCGAGCACGTCGCGATCGGCGGCGTCGCGGTCGACGACCGGGGGGGCGGCGCGGCGCGGCTCGCGCGCGGCGTCCTCTCGCTCGAACCGCTCGCGCGCTGCTCGAACCTGCGACACCTGTCGCTGCCCGCGAAGCCCGCGCGGGCGCTCGGCGGCGCCGCGGACCCGCCCGTCGACTGCGGCGCCGTGCTCGATCTGCCGCTCGCGCACCTCGAGTGGGTCGAGGACCCGGCCGCGCTCGACGCGGCGTTGGGCGTTCGCGCGGCCCACGGCGCGCTGCGCCACGTGGGCGTGCAGTTCGCCGTCGTCGAGCGCCTCCGCTTCGCGGCGACGCTGCCCAACTTGCGGAGTTTGCACCTCAAGGCGGTCAAGTTGCAGGGCGCGGCGCCGCTCGCGGCGCTCGCGGCGTGCGACGCGCTCGAGCGCGTGAGCCTCGAGGCCGTCGCCGGTCTCGGGGACCTCGGCGCGCTCGCGGGCGTGCCGCGGCTCGCGGCGTTGGTGGTCGACGTCGAGCCCGGGGGCGCGGCGAAGCCGTCGCTCGCGCCGCTCGCGGCGTGCCCGTTGCTCGCGCGGCTCACGGTCAAGGGCTACCGCAACCGCGTCGCTTCGGAGCTCTTCCTCCCGCCGCCCGCGTTCCCCGCGCTCGACGCGCTCGCGATCAGCGGCCTCGGGTTCACGGCGTTCGCGAACGCCGCGGCGACGAGCGGCGCGTTCCCGGAGCTCCGCGAGTACAACGGCGCCGCGGCGGCGGAGGTGCGCCGCTACGAGACCGCGCGCGTCATCGTCCACAACCAGCGCTACCAGACGTCCTACGCGCGGCTCCGCGAGGGCGGCCTCGGCCCCCGGGCCGCCATGGCCGCCGCGGGCGCGTCCGTCGGCGACCTCATCGTGCCGACGTGCTCGCCCCGCTCCCAGCGGAGCTCGCCGGACCGGCCCGACCCGCCGCCGATCCTCCCCAAGTTCGAGGGCTAACAAGTGTGCGAGCCTGCGAGCCTTCAAAAGTGCAACCAAGTGTGCAGCCACTGGTGAGGTATTCAACGTCGACTGCACGCCGTCGGCGACGAGAGAGACAAGGATATCTTAACTTCTGGCCTCCTGGTTGTATGGTGGGCAGGGCAGCTCCCGCCGCGCCGGACCGACCCACGGCCACGACCCTGCGGCAGGCGACCATGGAAGACGGGGCGTCGGAGCGCCTCGAGGGCTGGCTCGTCAAGGACCCGTCGGACGGGAAGCGCGGGCGGTCGCGCAAGCGCTGGGTCGTCTTCGACCAGGGCACCTGCGAGCTGAGCTGGCACGCGTCGCCGGAGAAGCCGGCCATCAACTCCATGACGGTCAAGGCCATCAAGGCCAGGCCGGGCAAGTGCGGCCTCGAGTTCCGCAACGACGACCCCGGCGCGGCGCCGCGGCTCGTGGGCGCGCGCGTCGACTCGGAGCGGGCGCAGAAGCTCTGGCTCCGGGCGAGCCCCGAGCTCGCGCAGCAGCGCGTGCTCGGCGCGGAGTACGCCGACGCGGCGGACGCGGCGGCGGCCATCGTGCGGCTCCAGCGCTGGGTCCGGGCCTGCGCGCGGCGCCGCATGCTCGTCCGCGCGCTCAACAACATGCACGAGCTGCCCCGGCCGCACATGGTCTGGGTCTCCGTCGCCGTCCGGGGCCTGCGGCGGCCCGCGGCGCGCCGGTCGTCGACCTTCAACCAGGCGACGAAGCCCGAGAAGCTCGTCTTGCGGGTCCGCGCGGGCGAGGCCCAGGGCAGCACAAGAGAGCGAAATTCCCAACTTCAAAGGCTCATATCTCGGCCGTTTTCCACTCGTTTTGGCTGATTTTTGGACGAGCGATCATCTCTTGGAACGGTCTCGAAGCGTGGATGCTTTTTCCGGAACGCGCGCGCGCGAAACACTCACGTTGAAGCGACGTTGAATCACCCTTTTGCTGCCCAGGCGAGGCCGTCGGCGGCTCGGGCACGCGGACCGTCGAGGTCGGCGAGTTCGACTGCGCGCGGCTGCCGGACGAGTGGGGCACCTACGCGGCGCTGGGGCCCGCGCCGGGGTTGAGCATCGCCCTGCTGCCCGCGGACCAGGGCGGCTGGGGCGCGCGCGAGAAGCCGGTCGCGACGCTCGACTTAGAAAGGTTGGAGGACGCGCCGGCGACGTTCACGTGGCTGCCCCTCGCGCCCGGCGGCATGGTCGAGGTCGCCGTGCGCGTCCAGCCCCAGGCCTGCGAGGACCACGACGAGGACATCGACGGCGGCGAGACGCCGGACGGCTGCGCGGAGGCGGGGCTGCTCGGCCGGGGCAAGCGCGCGTGCCGCCTCGCGATGCGCGCGTCCGCGAAGATCCACCGCGACCTCGGCGACGCCGCCATGTACCGGCCGTCCTACGCCGCCCTCGTGGCCCGCGTGACCCGGGGCGAGGCGCTCCTGCGGCGCGTCGCGGCCGGCGGCGGTTTCGACGACTACGACCAGATCGCGGACGTCGTCTGGCATCTGTTCGCGCGCGCGGCGCACAAGGGCGCGGCGTTCCGGTCCGGGGCGTTCCTCGTCGAGGACGTGAACTGGCGCCTCTTCGACGCGCTCTGCGCCCACGGCTACTGCCGCGCGTTCAAGGTCGCCCCCGCGACCGCGCCGCCGCTCGACAAGTACGAGTCGAAGACCTTCGGCAGCTCGCACCTGCTGGGCGCGCTGCGCGTGGCGGCGGCCACGGGCCACTGGCGCCTCCCCGACGACCGCGTCTCCTTCGCTCTCGGCGGGCCGGGCGCGGCGAACGCGCCGACCGCGTGCGGCTACTACCAGTGCGGCGTCGACGTCGGGCCGTCGCTGCCGGGGCAGGAAAAGGGTGATTCAACGTCGCTTCAATGTGAGTGTTTCGCGCGCGCGCGTTCTAGAAAAAACATCCACGCTTCGAGAGCGCTCCGAGAGATGATCGCTCGTCCAAAAACCAGCCGAAACGAGTGGAAATCGGCCGAGAAAGGAGCCTTTGAAATTGAGAATTTCGCACCCTTTTCCTGCCCAGGTCGCTGCCCGCGCGGAAGCAGCACGTCCTCTTCGGCAAGAGTCCGCCCAAGGACGCGCTCCAGCGGGACCAGTTCCTCTTCCTGAAGCTGGAGGAGCACGGCAACTCGGGCGCGCTCGAGACCGCGCGCCACGGCCTCAACTACCTCCAGTCCGTGCAGCACAAGAAGGCCGACGCCGCGGACTCGCGGACCGAGAAGCCGCCGAAGAAGCTGCTCCACGGCTTCAAGGGCATCGTCGACCACGCCATGGTCGACCGCAAGCCGCGCTTGTTGGCGGCGGGCCACACGGGCGCGCGTTTGGACGCGTTCACGCCGTGCTTCGGCCGCGCCGACTTCAAGCAGCGCGCCAAGGCGCTGGGCCTCTCCTTCATGTACCCCGTCGTCTGCGCCATCCGCGACGCCTCCCAGGCCGACGCCGACGCGGCCGCGGCCAGCGCCTTGGCCAGCGACGCGGCCGCGCGGCTCCTCGAGTCGTCCGACAGCGACGACAGCGACGACGAGCCCCACCCGTGCGACTTCTGCGCGGCCAAGCTCGTCGGCGAGTGCAACCACTGGGTCTCGTCGGCCTTCCAGTTCGCGGCCATCGACCATCTCGACAAGCGCTACTCCAAGGAGATCATCCTGCCCGCGGCGGACTTTGAGGACGCGCCGCTCGCGCGGGTCCCCAAGCCGCCCGCGCCGCCGCCCGACGACGCGGAGTTCGTCGACCTCTACCCCGCTAAGTTCTAAGCAGCGCCGCGCCCAGGGCCCGCGCCGACGCGCCCCAGGCGCCCGCGAAGGCCCGCGCGCGCGCGACGAGCGCGTCGCGCGCGGCGCCGCGCGCGGCGCCGCGGAGCCCCGCGAGCGCCCGCAGCGCGTGCCAGAGGGCCGTCGACCGGTCCGGGTCGTCGAGGAGCACGGCGGCGCAGGGCGCCGCGCCGCCGCAGCCCGGCGCGGCGACGTCGCCGACGAGCTCCGCGACCGCGGGGATCCGCGCGGCGACGACGGGGCAGCCGCAGGCCATGGCCTCGAGCACGGGCAGCCCGAAGCCCTCGTCGCGGGACATGTAGACGAGCGCCGCGGCGCCGCTGTAGGCCCGCGCGAGGTCGTCGTCGCTTAGCCGCGCGGAGTGCGAGAACGACGCGTTGTAGTGCGGGCCGGCCAGCAGCGCGAGCTCGTCCGCCGACGGCGCGTCGCCGCCGACGAGCCACAGGTGGAGGTGGCGCGCCCGGGCGTCGTAGAAGGCGCGCGCGACGGCGAGCCCGTTCTTGTAGCCGCGGCGGTAGCCGACGACGAGCGCGTAGGGCTTCGCCGTTTTCGCGAGCGCGGCGCCCTCGGCCGGCGGGCGCGGGTAGAAAATAGAGGCATCGAACCCGTTGGGCGCGAGGCCCGCGTCCCTGGCCCGGGCGCCCGGGTAGAAGGTCGCGAGCGCGCCGCGCGTCGCGGCCGAGACCGCTAAAATCGCGTCGGCTTGTTCGATCGCGGACCGCTTCAGGTCCCAGTAGGGGCTCCGCGGCCAGGCGAATTTCTCCGGCGTCAGGTCGTGGACCAGCAACACGACGCGCCCGGCCCAGAGCCTCCCGTCGGGCCGCGTGTACTCCGTGGACGCGAACGCGGCCGACCCCTCGCAGAGCCACGCGAGCGACAGCGCGTCGGCGACGTGGTCGTGGTCGTCGGGGAAGGGCGGCGCCGCGCGCCGGTGCAGGGCCGCGAGCGACGCCGGCAGCTGGGAGCCGCCGCGCTCGAGGAGCACGAGACCGCCCGCCGCGGCGTCCGCGAGCCGGGGCAGCAGGTTGGCCCAGACGCGCGAGATGCCCGCGCCCCGGCCGGCCTGGCGCTGGAAGACGACGCCGTCGACGCAGATCGCCCGCGGCGCGTCGCCGGCGGGTCGCTGCTTCGCCGCGGCGACCGCGCGGAGGACCTCGGCGTTGACGACGGGCGTCGGCGGCGCCTCCGCCGCGGCGACGGCGCGCGTGGACACGCCGAGCACGGCGGCGGCGGCGAAGGGCACGGCGTCGGCGACCGTGGCGCGGAACCGCGGCTCGTCGCGCACCCAGGGCAGGTAGTCCGCGAGCGGCACCGGCGGCTCCGCGGCCTGGAGCCGCCGCCAGCCGTCGACGGCGCCGGCGTAGCCGTAGAAGCGCTCCTTGAAGGCGACCTGCCTCTCGGCCACGTAGGCGTGGTGCGTGAAGACGGCGCCCGCCGCCGCCGTGGCGTTGTGCCCCAGGCACCGCGCGCCCGCGAGCGGCTCCCAGCCGGCGCCGGTCCGCAGCGCGAGCCGCGGCGGCGCGTGCGACGCCCAGAAGACGTCGTCGGGGTCCGCGCGCCAGAGGCGCAGCCACTCGTAGGCGTCGCTGTGGCCGTAGCCCCGGGGCGTCGCCGTCGCGAGCTTCGGGCCGACGAGGAAGTGGCAGTGGAAGTACGCGCATGTAAGGTCCGAGTCGCCGAGGAGCCGGAGCGCGGCGCCGAGCGCGTCCGCGGTCCAGAGCTCGTCGACGTCGAGCTGCAGGAGCAGCGCGCCGGGCCCCGGCGACGCCGCGTTGAGCGCCGCGGCGGCCATCTCGCCCTTGTCGCGCCAGAACCCGCCCTTCCGGGGCCGGTGCACGACGACGCGCGCGTCGGACGCCGCGAGGCCGTCGACGTACTCGGAGCTGCCGTCGACGCTCAGGCCGCCCCGGTGGAAGCTCGCGGGGATGGGGTCCTCGGCGTAGGGCCGCGCCGCGTCCGCGCGGCCCGCCGCGACGCCCTCGACGACGTGCCACTCCCACCTGCGGCGGCGCGGCGTCGGGCGACGGCCCCGGGGGGGGGGCGCGGGCGGCGC